ACTTGTTCCTGCAAGGTTCCACCGCCTCAAGGTTCTATAACCTCCCTAAACAGTGCCACCAACTGAAGATCCAATGTTCAAATACCTGAGCCCATGGGAGACATTTCTCATGCAAACCACCACAGGGTGTTTGTACCAATCACAGTATACCTCTCATGCAAATGCCTCTTTGACAACACATCATCTCACATGTAAATGAAGGCTTCTGTAGGCATCAATCACAGCACTGTTCCTTTTGCATCAGTCACCGCAGTTCTTCTGTGAGGCTACCAGGGCTAGTGCTCCTTTGTTAACCTAGGTGGAAGAGGCTGCAGGCTCACCAGGAGCTCACTGAGGCTTGTGAGGGAGATAAGATGATAAGAATTGAAACAGCCCGGATGAGGCTGCGCCTTCAAAGACTAGAGCAATTGGTTGAATCTTGTGTTATTTTCTCAAGGAATCTGTGGAAAGTTCAAAATGGCCAGTATTGGCATAAGGAGAATATGGCTAGCTGACTGATAGTCCTTCTCCTGAAGGCAGCTGAAGTGCCAAGAGAGTCCAACCTTAGCTAACTAATGAGTCAAATTGCCCCTCCCTAAACATCTTTGCTCATTTACAGGAAAATGATGAGAAGGAGTACTTATAATAAGAACAAAAAACTTAGTAGTGTTACACCCAGATCTCGCAACCCCCAATGACCACCAAGGAGTCTGGACAGTATACAAAAGCAAAGAGCCTTTCTTCGGGTTTAAGCTCGGGCCCTCAGATTTCACAACTCAGCGGATCTGTACTGAGAGCCCTGATCTAGGGTGGGGTAAGCTTTTATAGGGAAGTTTCACCGAAGCCCCTGCGCACCAAGCATCCTTTAAAATGATTGGATGGTCCTATGCCCTGAGTATAGGGAAGATTCTTATTGGTAGGGGTTGTCTTTAGGCATTGGAATGCGCTGACTGTTATCTATGGGGCCAGAAGTTTCTGTTTTTACCTTATAAGGCTGCTATATGTGCCGGCTTGCTTGATCTATAGCTTTCCAGGATGGGGGTGGTAACTGAAGATTACAACATGCCTGGGCATGTCCAGGCTTGCCTGAACAGTTAGTCAAAATGGAGTTAGTGCTGTCTTAAGCCAAGCAGATTACAGAAGCAGAAAGAAGCGGTTAGACGAGTCAGGGTCCCAAAGTAGTAGCAACAATATTAATTTCTAACAGATTTTAACAGTGCTCTAACAGTGTTTAATACCTGTCCAGAGCAAAGGGAGAGGTGAGTGCACCTCAACCATCTCATGATGATGGAAGGTCTTATATCCCTGGCTGGAGTATTTTGACTTTATCCTTTGGAGTAGGTATATGGGAACTTTTTGAGACTACTGGTTAGGAGGATATTGGGCAGAGAAAAATAAAGTCTCACTATTGTGAGTGAAATTAGAAAGCTTAGTCATAGAATGTTTGCCTAGCATGCATATCCACCCACCACCATCATAAGACCACAAAAGGTGAGAGAGAGAGAGAGAGAGAGAGAAAGACAGACAGACAGACCGTTAGGTAGTGGATATAGTACCCTCCCCTGTGTATATTGTATTAGTAATGTTCTTTTCAAAATAAATTAGAAAAAAACTTGTGTTACAGAAGCAAAACTGTTTGACAGAATGCAGAAATTTCTGAAACATGTAATGTGGAAAAAAAATCACAACCCCCAAATATTTATTGATATTTTGTTGCCTTCCTATGACTATAACTGAGATCATACATGTAGCTTAATAGTCTAATTTTTAAAACCTCAGGGGCTGGGGAGATAGATCAGTGGGTAAAATCCCTGCCATGCAAGTCTGCAGCATCCTATGTTCAATCTAGGAACCCACATAAAAGCTGGATGCAATAGTGCACATCTGTAATCTCAGCACTCCTAAAGAAATGAGAAGTACAAGCAGGAGACCTTCTCAGGAGCTAGGCTGGCTTATGCAATGGCAAAAATAGCAAGAGGGACCCTGCTTCAAAAACAAGCTGGAGGGCTAGTGAGATAACTCAACAGCTAAAGGCACTTGCTGCACAAACCCGAGGACCTGAGTTCAATCCCTGGAAACCATGGACAGGTGGAAGGAAAGAACCAATTCTACAGAATTCTCCTTTCACCTCCACACACGCATTGTGGCACATGTGTCCTGCTATAACCAACAAACACACACACACACACACACACACACACACACGCACGCACAAATGAATGAATGAATGAATGAATGCATTAAAGTTTAAATGCCAGGTGTGACATGTGCCTTTGATCCCAGCCCTTGGGAGGCAGGTGGATCTCTGTGAGATCAAGGTCACCTGGTCTACATTGTGACTTCCAGGTGGGCTGTGACTAGGGAGATCCTATCAAAAAACAATCAACAGAAAACTAACAATGATGATAATAAAGTTTAGAAAGAAGGTAGAAAAGCAAGGAGTTGTTCTCTTACCTCCACATGTGTGCCAGGGCATGTACACACTGGTACTCACACATGTACATTGTACATATACACATCCATACAAACACACACACATACAACTTAGCATAGATCTTACTCATATTATCATTACTATAGTTGAAATATGTTCTATAAGTTGTAATTAAGACTATCAAGTGGATGGCTTTTCGGCTTTCATTGGCTATCTAGATTGTTTTCAGTTTTTAGCTATATCATAGCCCAAATGACAAACTGTCCCTCTCCAAGTAGTTTTGTCCCTTTCCCTCATAATTTGCATAGTGTGGTTTCAGAATGTGGTGGACCTTTTTGAGGTCTTGACTGACTATTCCACAGAGGCTTCAGTGTGGCTGTGAGAATACTCATTTGTAAATCAGTGCTAATTTGATAGATGAAAAAGATGTCATTTGAAATGAATATTTCTTTGCCAGTTAAATATTAATGTGATTAAGTTTTATTTTAAAATGTCTGTTTTAGGGGCTGGAGAGATGGCTCAGTGGTTAAGAGCCCTTGCTGCTCTTGCAGGTTTGGTTACCAACACCCACATGGTAGCTAACAGCTGTCCATAACTCTAGTTCCAGGGAATCTGTTGCCATCTTCTGGCCTCTGTGGGAATTGCATGCATGTGATGCACTTATGTACATGCAGTCAAAACATAAAAACACAATAAAAATAAAATTTAAAATCTAAAACAAAACCCCAAATGCCTGATCTAAGGAAGCAGGCCTTGCTCTCCAGTTCATCCCAAGCCCTCCTTAAGTGAGTAAGCATGATGAGACGGGAGGCAAGCTCTAACTCCCAGATCAATAGCTGCTATTGGTGCCCATCCCCTTTTACTAGACGATACTGACTAAGCTTAAATGTGAGACCTTCCACTTTTGATGAGGAAAGTGTGTGAGAGCAGGTGGGAAAATGTGGCTCAGCAGCAGTGAAAATGACAAAGTATTCAGGGTGCTAATGTGCAGGAGAATGAATGTGCAAGGTTAGGCAAAACCAAAACAAATCAAGTACTGCAAACTCCACCAGCCCTGGGCCATGAGAGCAGGAGCCTTGCCTACTGAGTGGCAAGGCTGAAAGCTACCTGCTCTCTTGGCTTGAGGGACCAGGCCACATAGCTAGCAGGTGAATGGTTTTGAAACCTGTGTGCACCTCTGGCTTCAGGTTTTTGGTCTGGAGAACAGATCTGAGGAATCTCAGCAACATCAACTGTACAGTCATGTGATAAACTAGATTCTTTTCTCTGTGGATCCAGAGGATACAATAGTCCCCAACAAAAGCCATAGCCCAAGTCCTGAAGAGTGTGAGAAGATTGTCTTTCAGTTCTGATGTTAGGGGAAAATAATAAAGATCTCCATTTATGGCTTAATTAAAAGGACCTCAGAGTGGGAGTCTCAGGAACCCTGAGACTCTGCAAAGAAATCTGTGAGGTCAAAACTATTTTCAAAACCACAGCAACACCATATTTGCCTTAATTCTAGTTCTCACTACTGTAATGGAGCCTCCCCTCACCCCACACAACATTATATCCTAAGAGATTGAATGTAGAAGCCAGTATGAGAACCACTGTATTTGCAACCATACAGAACAATATTACTTTCTCAGTAAGTCTGTCTCAGAAACCTATAGTCATTTGGCATAAAATGTATGGCATGTTAACATGTAATGATGGTAAAGCCATTTAAAATTAATAAGGAAACTGACAAAATAAATGTTTAAAATTCTTTAAAAATTGTAGTATACTAGTATCAACAGGCATGATCGAACATAAAGCAAAGTACTCTAGAATCCTCAACACTTTTGAAGAATGTAGAAACTGGCCAGTCACTGGCCTGTCACAGAATGGCAGTGCTCCATTTTTTGCTTCTCCCATGGCTGCTTTCCCCATCGCTATCCGCACATCCACAAGGACTCAAAGGAAGGGCCCGCTAAGAAGCCCTTTAATGGAGATTACATGTGCTGTCTTTCTCCAGCTCAGTACCCAGTGGGAGATATCAGGTGCCAACAGGTGCTAGTGCACAGGGATGTGGCCGGTTTAGGCAGGAACAGTGTTCATTTTGGGAGAACAGCCATGGAGTGTGACTTTACAGATGCATCCTAGCAAGGCTCCCGCGTGTTAATAGCATCCCACAAGCCATGTGGGATGGCTTTGGGTGCATACCATATTAGGGCAATGCGGGCATGCAATAACTACTCAAATAGGATTTGGGAAGGTATGAATAATTTATTTTTAGGGCCAGTCTGGAAGAGACATTCCTAATGATGAACTGGTTAGCAGCCTGGAACTAGGCAAAAAGAACTTAACGTCCTTCCTCCTTCGGTGCCTGGTTCTTTCCTTCCTGGAGTCGTCTAGGGAAGGTGAGTCTGCCCCGCCCACAGAAAGGCAATGCCCAGACTCAGGAATGCCATCACAGGGATCCGGTCCCTGGCGGGGTTCCTAGTCTCCTCTACAGGATTCTGCGCGCTCGGATCCCTGGGGACCCGAGGGGGTGCCGCTGAGCAGAGCGCGGGCGCTCGGAGGGGGCTGGAGGCTGCGAGGTGGCGAGGCTGCGAGGTGAGGAGGCCAGCGATCGCGACTCCACGGCGGTTCCAGGCGACCCATAAAGAGCCAGACTCTGTTCCCAGCGGAGCTGTGGAGCCGGAAAGAGGGCTCGGGTCGGGTGGCCCTGGGTCTTCCTCGGTTCTTTCCAGACCCGCTTTCCCAGGTACGGTGTCTGGGGTTCTGGATGAGCGGCGCGGCCGGGGTTCCCAGGCGGGCTGGACTCACACCGGGACCCCATGCACAGGCTGTGCCGGCTGCGATGGGCTGCCTCGCTTCCCGCAGGACTTCCACCCTGCCTCGCTCTTGGTGGCAGAATGGGATGCTACCAGGTCTGCCCACTACCCACACCCTCCCTGCTGAGCCTCCTTGAGGGCAGGCCGGAGTCCCTGGCTTCTGAAAGGACGGGGAATAGGCCAGCCTTTGAATGGCAGAGCCAAAGGTGGCCTCCCATGGAGAGGGGAAGGCAGGTGACCTGGGTTGGGATCTGACATTCCAAAGTCTGTGACCTGCGCTCTGATTCAGGCTGGAGGAGCTCCAGGGCTCAAGACCCTCTGCCGTTTTCCTCGTAGCCCAGAATGGGGATGCCTTCGTTGCTGCTCTGTGGCGTGTCTATCGCACTTCCTCTTTTTGTTACAGCAGGTACGTTCCTGTGCGTCTTTGGGTTCGAGTGGCCTGCTGCCTTCTGGGGACATCCTATTCCTGCTCAACTCCAGGCCCCTACCCCACCTCCTGTGTTATAGCCTACACCGCAGCCTTGCTAATTAAACTTTTCCTCAGATGGCTTTGCAGGCAGAATTCCGCAAAATGGGGAAGCAGAAAGTTTCAGTCCCAAGTTCTCAGAGGCTCAGCTTCAAATATCACTTTGGAATTTGGGAGTCACTTAGGGAACCGGGAGAAGTTCGCAAATGTTCAAGGGGACTCGATTTCTAATCCTCCAAAGGATATATTAATAGCACTGTTTTATGATCCAAAGCTACCAGAATCAGAACAAATGGCTAAGAAAAACTAACTGGGCAGAAATGGGCTTTTAAAGTAAGCTGGTTTTAAAATCGTCCATTGTGGGGTGAGGATGCTTTTTATTCAAGACAGTAATTGGATACCAGAGCAGGATTAAAATGATATCAGGATGGGGTCTTCATCGTGAGGAGGAGGATCAATAACTAAGGGTAGAAAATAGAAGGAAAGAGAACTTGTTGCAAAGCGGAGGGTCTTTGTGAGAAGGGGACAAGGAACCCCTGTCCTCAGGATGCATTTGAAGAACTCTGAATTATGCTTTTAAACCACCAGGCTAATTTTAGTAAACTTCTAAACTGAGCAAACTCCCAAATAAAAATTCAAATTGCCTGAACAAGCTGCTAAGAGGATAATCACATTAGTTTTCTTTCACTGTGATTCTTTGCCCTTTCCTTCTCTAGATGAGTGCAAGGAGATTGAAATGTACAATGAGACTATTTCCGAGTCCCAGCCTTTTGCTTTCAACTGCACATACACTCTACTGACAAACATGGCAGTAAATCTGACTTGGTATAAAACTTTTAGTAAAATCCCAGTAACCAAAAACAGACAGTCAAGAATTCACCAGGACCAGACCTGGATTTTGTTTCTTCCCTTGGCACAGGAGGACTCAGAAATCTACCAGTGTGTTATAAGGCAAGTTCCTCATTTAAAATAGAACCAATCCACATGCATTTCTCTCTCTCTCTCTCTCTCTCTCTCTCTCTCTCTCTCTCTCTCTCTCCTTTAAAAAAGTCGTTATTATTAATCTCTTTTTTTTCTTTTTAGACAGTGATACTCTCTAGCCTAGACTGCCTTCAAACTTGCCTCTGCCCCCAGAGTGTTGAGATGACAGGGGCAAGCTCCCTGGACTACCAAGCACCTTCTTAATGAGCACAGCAAGCTGAAGCAGGCAGCGATATTTTGTATGATTCTATAATTGTTGCAAGACGATTTCCAATTAGTATATTTTAAAGTGTAACGGGTTTATTTTTGGAACAGGAGGTTCATCTTTATCCCATTGAAATGATGTTTCAGGCTAGCCCAGCTTAAGATGTGTGCTTATAGAAATGTTATTGCTGCTATTTTTCTTAGCGTGCCGAAGTTTTTGTGGCTGATGGCTCATCCAGATAAAAATGAGATCCTTCACACACTTTTCATAAGGCATCTGCTTAAGTCAGCAAGCATAGATGATGCTTCAGAGCCTACATGAGGCCCTGTGCCAGGAAGTAGTATCAATGAGTGACATGGGCCTGGTGGGTCTTTTGAGTTGTTTCTAACTTTTGGATACTAGCAATATGGCTCATGAGAGACAGCTAAGCTTGGAGGGAACGACTATGGCCAATTGGAAAGATATGCCCCACTAAAAGTAGTTGTGCTTTTCTCTCCCATCCCTCCCTCAGTTCCTCCCTCCCTCCCTCCTTCTCTCTGTCCTCTCCTCCTTCCTCCTCTCCCTCCTTTCCTTCCTCCTTTTCTCCCACCTTTTCAATTTGTAAAGTTTTGTGAGACTTTAATAAAACCCATCTATAGACAAAATTTGGCCCGAGAGCCATAGTTCTGTGATTTTTCTCATAGTGGCTTGCCTGATCATAGCATGCTATTTTTATCTCTCTGAACCTTATTTTTTTTTTTTTTTGATCTCTAAATCGAGCATGTTGCCTAAGTCTTTAATCTCTGCCAATCTTGAATGATCACTCAGTCTTTTTTAAAAAAATATTTAATTTATTATATATTTTTATTTTGTGTGTATGAACATATTGCCTGCATGTATGCAAATGCACCCATGCCATGCAATGCCCTCAGAGGTCAGAAGAGAGCATTGGATCCCCTGGAACTGGAGTTATGGATGGTTGTTAGCCACCACGTGCGTGCTTGGAATCAAACCTAGGTCCTCTGCAAAAGCAGCCAGTGCTCTTAACTGCTGAACTGTCTCTCCAGCCCTCCTCCTTTAAAAAAAATATTTTATCTACGATTGTTCAGTCTTTGTCATGAGACTGACAGTTTGAAGAACTACAAGCAATCATTTTATATTTCCTTTGAGTTACCAAGCATTTCTTTGTGATTAAGTGCAGGTAAGCTGTGGCCTCGCAATATAAACACTGTGTATTCTCTTTAGAGTAATAGCCCCAGAGGCCCCTGGTGTCCATCAGCCCCTCCTTGGCCATGTTTGTCACTTGATTAAGATACCAGTTTCTCCACTGTAAATACCACTTGTCCTTTGCTAATGTATGGTTTGTGGGTTGCACATTGTTTTGGTGTCTTGAAAAAAATTTTAAAAGATGCAAAAATGAATCTTTGCATTTTGAGATCACTGAAGAGTTTATAGGGTTCTTTCTGTTGTTCTCTTACAGGAATACTGATGGCTGTTACAGTTTACCTGTAAACCTAACTGTTTATAAAAAACATTCATGTGGCTCTTCCATAAGGAGTCCAATGAATTCCTTAGATGATTACCAACAGATATTACCTATTGGAAAGTCTGGCAGTCTGAACTGTCCCCTGTATTTCCCAGAGAGTTGTATTTTGGATTCGATAAAATGGTATAAGGTAATAAAATCTCTATTGCTATTTTTTTCTCCTTTTATATGAAATCCACTTTGTTTTCCAGGTTATTTCGAATCCTTCAGATTAGATTTGACCAAGAAATTTGTGTACGTAAGATAGATTTGTTCATCTCAGCAACTGATAATCTTACCCTGTTAATTGTTATTTTAAACTTGATGGTTATTATTGCTTTGTCATATTTTATTATTTGTGTCTTATCCATCCCTCCAATTGTTTATATTTTTCAAGCTATCCTTGGCCATATATTTTGTACTAACATTGATTGTTTGAATGGCTCTGATATGCTCTGATAGTCCTTCAAAAATTCCATATTATACAACGTCACCCTTAAGAAAAACTTCTGCTACTCCTGTTTTGTGCTGGCTCTGGGCTCATCACACCTTTCCCAATGTGTGGCCATCACTGTCCATTCCTGTAATGTCCCTGTATAATGCTACATTCAGAAATTAAAATTTATATTTTAGCCCTTCTTTTTTATGTGAACGGAGCCTCCTGTGCTCATCTTCCCGCATCTTACATTTTTGGTGAATGTTCTCTTTTCCTAACAGACAAAACATAATTTAAAATGAGTGTTCACTTATTCCTAACTGCTTCTTAGCAGCCATCAGTCTGACCATGTGGATCTTGAGTTTTCTTTAAGGGTTTTCATCTCTTGATTCCATTTCTTTTCTATGGTAGAAGATTATTCAAATGTCTTACTCTTTCTAGAATAAATTTTGGCAGGATTCCATTTCCTAGGAAATAGCCCATTTTATTCAGGGCGTCATGTATGCTGGCAGGTGATTTATGATCTCCTCATTCTCTTCTTCAGGGAGGTTGAGGGTTAGTCCTCATTACAGCATATGTACTTATCCCCATCTTCTTACTTCCCCATCCCCAGTAGAGCCACTTTCACTTGATAAATTACATGAGAGACTTTCTACTATTCTTTTCAGAAAGGCCCCTTTGCTCATCTTCCCATTTTTATTTTCTATTCACTTAGGTTCCTTTTCTTCTAATGTGGAATATGGGAATGGGTGTCCCTGCACCTTTGAAAGCATGAGTGTCTCACGAGTCCATGACCACTAGCCATAGAATTGCTGGATGGTAGAGACACAAATAAAGCATTCTGCTCCTCTGAGGTGCCAAATTGCTCTCAAAATCATATATCAGTTTGACTGTCACTAGGAGTATCAGAGACTTCTCACAAGCTTAGTAGAACTTCATGTTGTAAAACTTTAATTTTTGAAAACCAGTTTGGTGAGCGTGAACTATTGCCTTATTGTTGTTTTAATTTTTTCTTAATTATTGACAAAATTGACCGCTTTTTTCATTCTATTGTTCATTTCTGAATCTGCCTCAGAACTGCCTAGATCTTCTGTCGTGTTCTTTGCTTAATTTTCTTTCCATTTTTCTTGCTGATTTACAGGAGATGTTATACATTTCTATGTCTTGGGAACCAACTGACATGCATTAAAATATTTCCATTGAAGTTTAAAATATACATAAAAATGGACAAATCAGGTAGACAAGTGTTAATGAATTGTCAGAAAGTAAAACATATCTTTTATTACTACTTAGCACCAAGGTCAAGGCACAGACACTACCAATAGCTCCAAAGACCAATAGCTCCAAAGACCTGAACAAAATAGGCCTTCTTGACTCCCAAAGATCATCACTTTCCTCATTTGTATTATCACAGATTAGATCTGCTTGATTTTGAACTTTAATTTGAATCATCTGTGTATAGTCTTTTGTATTTAGCTTCTTTGGACCAGCAGTAAACCTGAGAACCATCCACACTGCTGTATGTACCTCCAGCTCATCCATTTTAATTGTGCAGTAACTCATGATTATCATCAGACTTTTGAGTTGTTTCCAAATTTTTAATATTAGAGATAAAATAATTATGGACAATCTTGAACATAACTTTTGGTTCACACATGCTTGCAATTTTGTGGAGTGTTTTGAATAAGAATGAAGAAGCCGTGTCATAGATAATGTGATCAAAGTTAGTGCAAAATACCAACCATTTTCAAATAGATATGTCAATGAGCAATTTCACCTGCAATGTATAAAAGTTATTTTTATTCTATATCTGATAGCATGTGGTGTGATTAGCTCGTCTTCCCTCCCTCCATCCTTCCTCCCTTTCTCCCTTCCTCCCTCCCTCCCTTCCTCTCTTCCTTCATGCTGGGGCTAGAGCTCGGGGCCTTGCACATGCTAGACAAGTGCTTTACCACTGAGCTATCTCAGCCCTGCTCTTTTTAGCTTTTACCTTCAGATGACAAATTGTGCCGTACTTTGACTTCACTCAGTATCTTCTTGATAAATGATATTATGGATTCCTTTTAGGTTTCCTTGTTGGTAATTGTATGTGTGTGTGTGTGCACACGCACATGTACCTGTGTGGGCACATGTACATGCCCGTCCAGATGAATGTGTAAATTTTTTTCTGAGGAGCGTTTCTGAAAGTATCTTGCCTATTTTTCCATTTTGTTTTCTTGTTCAGGAGGCTTCCATCTCTTTCTGTAAAGAACCAAATAGTGAACATCTTAGGCAGTGGAAGGAGAGGTAGACTCTGCTCCAGCTACTCAGCTGTGTTTGGGAGCACAACAGTATTTGCAGACAATATGGAACTGCACCAGTGTTCTGCAGTCCATATTTTTCTATAAGAGCAGGTGGTTAGCTAGACTTGACTCAAAGGTCGTTTGGAATAATTTGGGTATGAGAAAACTATTATTTTATATGTTTATTATATATGTCTTTGTAGTCAGTGGCTTATCATTTTCATTTTAATGTAGTGTAATTTATTGATTTTCCTTTGTGACAAGGTATTTTCCTATGTTATCCCCCCGGAAATTCCATTTTCCCCCTTTTCATTGATTTGTGTGTGTGTGTATGCACACATGCAAATGTGTATATGTGTATGCATGTTAAAGTGTGTGTGCACCTGTGTCCATAGTTGTGCATGCATGTGTGCTTGTGTGTGTGGAGGTGAGAGGTCAAAGTCAAGTGTCTTTTCCAATAACTTTCCACTTATTTTTCTGATACAGGGTCTCCTATTGAACCTGGAACTAACCAATTAGGCTGGACTGGGTGACCAGCAAGCCCTCAAGATCCTCCTGTCTTTATCTTCCTAGCACTGGGATAACAGGGCATGCACCGTGTCCTTCATCAGATTACGGGTCTTTCCCTGGTGCTTAAATTTTTATTATGAATCGAGGTTAAATTTGACTTTTCATGTAATAATTCTTTTTATTATGTTAATATATTGAATAACAAGTTTTTGGATCTTCAGTAATCTTGCATTCCTGAAATCACTCAGCATGATCTGCAACTCTTCTTAAATTTCACTTTTGGCTGGTTAATATTTTGTTTTGAATTTTTGCGTCTTGAGTGATGCTGGTCTGCAACTCTTGTTTTCTCTTATGCTTCTGTCAGATTTTGAAATTAAAGAGAGTCTAGCTTTGTAAAATAAACAGAATAAAGCTTCAGTTTTCTTTTTTCTAGAAATGCTTAAGATTTCTAGAAAAAAAATAACTGGAAAGCAACTAGCCCACTAGGTCTTCTGTTATACACTTAGAAAGTTTGATAGAGACACCACCTGGGATAGAACTTTCTTTGAAGAAAAGTCCTCTGTTACATATACAGTGTCTTTAAGAGTCAAAGGATTATTCATCTGATTTATTTTCATTTGTAACAGATTTAGTATATTGTACTCATTGAGAAATTTTCAACTCTATTAATTTTTACACCTTAAGATAGTACTACTAAAATGTACTTTACTTTTTAATATTTATAGCTTGCTGGGAACAGAGCCTGGGTTCTCTGTAAGAGTAGTCAGTGTTCTTAACCACTGAGCCATCTCTCCAGCTTTATTTCATCTTAATTTTTGTAAGCAATTTTTAGCGGATTGGCATTTGTTTACTCTCTTTGAACATTTATTTGGGGTCACGTAATTTCCATTAGTTTTCATGATTAGTTGACAGGGCTGTCTTTCTGATTCTTGCTTTCTTGCTCTTTATTTTTGAAGGTAATGGACCTCCATCTCTGAATACCTTGAAAGTTTTCTCCTTGACTTGGGATTGTAGTAATGTAACTCTAGTGAACTGAGACACAGATTTCTTAGCGATTCTGCATGAGCTATTGGAAATTATGGCTCATTGTCTTCTTTCTTCATCATTTCTGTTTGCAGTTCTTCAGAATTTTCTTATCTTACCTTATTTTTTGGGCTCATTTTGGATGTCAATTTAAAACGTATTTAATCTTTCTTTGAAAAATATGTTTTCTATATCTTACATGCATTTTGTTTTCAGTTATTTTGTGCACATGTGCTTTCCAGTTTACTACTTTTATTTTCAGATATATCTACCCTTCTATTAATGCATCAGTTTGTTCCTTAATTTTTTTGGTCTTTTATATGCTGTAGTTTTTAATTCTGTGATTTTTTGATTTTTCATATGTATGTACAGTGTGCATGTGTGTGGGCTCATATTGTGTGTGTGTGTGTGTGTGTGTGTGTGTGTGTGCATGTGCATGTGGAGGCCTGAAGGTGGTGCTGAATTATCCTCAATGGCTCTTACACTTTGTTTGTTGAGGCAGGGTCTCTGAATCAAACCCAGAGCTCACCAATATGGCTAGTCTTGCTAGCAGCTTGCTCTCTCTCCACCTTCTGAGAGTGAAATCACAAGTGGGCTGCAACTCACCTGATATTTATGTGGGTTTCTGGGGTTCAAGTTCTGATCCTCATACCCACACAGCAAGCACTTTAACCACTGAGTCATCTCCCCCACCCTGATTTTGTAATTTTTATTTGTCCTTTTTCATAATTTGTCTCCACATAGTTGAAGTTTTCAGTGCTGCTGTTTAACCTGGATGAAACTGCTTTGGAGTCCCGGTCTGATGATTTCATGAATTGATTTTCCTGTGTGCCTGCCATTTCTCTTAGGTTTAGTTGGTACCGTGGAAGTTTTACCCCCTTCTATGTCCCAAATTTAAAATAAATGATTGGGTTTTGCTCCCTTCTTCCTGTCTCTACTTCCTCACTTTCACTCAGATTCTAGCTTATGTCAACAGCATTATGAACTATTCCTGGACTTTGTAAAAGCCCCATTTTAACCCTCAAAAACAATTTTATAACCTTCTCTTGCCCCTGAAGTTCCAAGCATCCATTCATTTGGTGTTGATTTCTGCAACTGGACTGCTGCCTGGCTCACTAACTTTATCTCTAGTAGCCTTTTATACCTTGTGCATCTTAACCAGAATGTTCTGAACTATTTTGTGTCTGTGGAACATCACTGAGTCAGGACTGTTCTTCTTGGTGCCTGGAGGAGAACAAAAGGCACTCAGATGTTGGCTGCTATTATTATCCAGAGTTTAATTTTAAACCTTGATAGTGAGGAATCACCTTGAAATTTTCAAATAAAAATCAAGTCTAGTAGAGAGTTTTTACTCTCCAGTAGTTTAGGAAAAAATGCATTCCTCCTCACTGTAAAAGGACAGGTTTCCCCAGGTTGACCCAGGTTAACATGACTAATCATTTCTATCCATGAAAGGAAGAGTGAGTCAGAGGGGACTGCTCAGTTGTGGAACCCAGCACAGGCTGTGCCTAGTCAGAGACTGCCCAGTGAAGCCTACCCAGGAAAGTGGTTTCTGAAGTCCAAGGATTCAAAATTTGTGTGTCTGTACTCTGAAGAAGGGGGCATTGTTATGAGAGCCTGATGCCTTCAAGCATCTGACTCAGTGTAGTGGTGAGAAGTTGTCAAATGATAACTTGGTTTCCCTTACAAAGTGTCTATAGGAACAATGTAAGATGTCTAGGAAGCCATATTGTACATTGTAAATAAATAGATGCTCATTCTGGCATTACTAATATTCACCATGCAAAGTAGATGTATTCTCACTGTTCTGAGGTAGAGAACAAGGAATGAACTCAACTGTGGCTGGTCAAGAACGGAAAGAACTTAGCACTGGGGAAACCAATTTTTATTTAATTGGTGGTTTATCTGTTTTCACTACTAGATCGTGAGCTTCATGAGGATAGTAACTACACCTAATTCCCTTGGGGTTAAAGTCTCTCATAGGCTGATAAAGAGCAGGAACTCGAATATTTGAGTGAATAAATAGACTCAACTATCCAGGTGGTTCCTCTTTTGAGCAGTTTTCCCAAAGGAAGGGGAACAGGCCTGAGAGAGTCCAGAAGTGAGCCCATGAGGTGAGGGAAATTAGCTTTAAAAGTAAGTTTTGGAGTGGAGAAGATTGCTCAGTTGGTGAAGAACTTGACTTGCAAACATAAGAACCTCAGTTTGATCCCCAGAATGCATTAAAAAAAAATGTGTGTGGTGGTGCACCAGAGATCGGTAGATCCCTTGGGCTCATTGGCCAGCTTGCCTTGCCAAAATGACCATCCAGTCTCAAAAGGCAAAGTGGAAAACAACGGAGGATGGTATTCAAGGCTGACTCCTGGCTGTCACATGCATTCACATACAAGTGCACATCCACCCCACACAAACATGCACTTATACACAGAAACACAAAGGCACAAACACACACACACACACACACACACACACACACAGAGAAAATGAACGTCTTCAGGACCCATGAATGTGAGGCTTGCATTCTGCATGTTTACTAGGGATTGCAAAAGAAAAGTCATTCCTTAGACTAAATGATCTTTAATTGGTTGAGGTCTGAAGAATTCATGTGAAATGTGTTCTTCACAGCTTGGTGCATGTACTTTTCCATCGTTTAGGCTTCCAAATAGGATGTTGACAGTTATATTGTATTCTAAAAGGTAAACTTTCCTAAGAAGGGATAGTGGGTCTGTAATATAGTGGAAATAGCCATTATTCACCTGGGCTTGTGATCCTGGCAAAGGCACGGAGCCCCATGAGATGGGAGTGTATCGGAGATGTGAACCTTCTGGTGAAGGGCATTCCTTTGCTGCAGCCATCATCTATGGAATCTTTGCAACCTACCCAAGCCCCTTTTTTCTCAACTCCTATTAGATTTAATATTTGTATCACTCATTTTAGCTTGTAAAATGCTCCTTATCATTGTCATCTAGAGATAGTTGTAGATATACAGATAGAAATACATAGATCACTCTTTCTCTCATATATTGTTACCCATTTACAAACTGAACATGAAGTTCTTCCCCCCCCCCTCTTGATTGTTAACTTGATTTTACTGAGAAATGCTTAAGAATGTAAAGTACTTCTCTGAGTGTGTCTGTGAGGGCATTTCTAGAGAGGATTAATTAGGGGGCAAATATCCAGCCCACATGTGGGTGGTTCCACCCATTAGGTTGTGATCCAGATGAAATAAAATGGGGAAAGGAAGCTGGCATGGTGGTGCACACCTTTAATCCTAGCACTCAGGAAGCAGAGGCAGGCGGATCTCTGTGAGTTTGAGGACACCCTGTCTACATAGTGAGTTCCAAGTCAGCTGGGGCTACAGGGAGACCCTGTCTCAAAAAAAAAGACCAATAAAGCTCCCCCAAACCAAAAGCAAATGGGGGGGGGAGAAAACTTGTAACTGTAGACATTTTCTGAGCTGCTCTGCTCCACCACACATTTCTCAGCCTGATGGACTGAAACCTCTGAAGTCATGAGCAAATTAAATCCTTCCTTCCTTCCTTCCTTAAGTTGTTATATCAAGTATTTTGTCAAAGTGACAAAAACCTGACTAGAACACTAAACCTCCATCTGTCCATCCACTCATCCCTCTACATATGTATGTATGTATGCATGTATGTATGTATCTATCTATCTATCTATCATCTATCTATCTATCATCTATCTATCATCTATTGTCTTCTACATTAGACTGTAAATTATCTAAGCTCTAGGAAATCAGGAAGATATAGATGTTGCATCTCCTAATAGTCCACAGGATAATGCTAACTAAGAGGGTAACTAGTATTTTTCAATACTCACCGAATTCTTTTGTGTATGTGTTTAGGACTGTGAAGAGATTAAAATGGGGAAGCAGTTTGCCCCTTCAGGAACGAAGCTTCTTGTGGACAATGTTTCTGCAGAGGACCATGGGAACTATGCATGCACTGCCAGACTGACACACATAGGGAGACAGTTCACAGTTAGAAAGAGCATTTCTGTGAACACCAGTAAGTTTATTCACATGCTATTATCTATGTCTTAGCTTTATGTGATCTGATTGACTTCAGGCTTCAGGCTCCAGTGATCTGGATCTTGATTTTGCTGCAGGTTAGCAGACCTTCAAACATATTAGATCAGAGGGCCAAAGAGTAAGACAAAAGTGCACAAGTAGCTTGGTTTTTTTTTTCCCCCAAAACAGATTACACAAGATTATTGTGTAGAGAAAGTTGAATGATCCCTTGTGTAATAGGAGAGTTGCCTGGGTACCTAATGAAGTGTAAGGGCCTTTCAGTATATGGTAGCTATGGTTAATATTACTCCTATTTCCTTCGGTTTCACTGTTGTAGTTTGTGGGCAATTCCAGTGTTAGTTCTGCCTAAGTTCAGGGTCTCAGATAACCTAGAGTTCATGAGGTGTCAGTTCTCAACCCAGAGGAGCCAGTTTTCTTGAAAGCAGCTATGCTACTCACTGTACCACTAATATCCTGAGCTCTTGAACTTGTAATGAGCCACAGATTTGAAAGCAGAATCTCAGGGGGAGAGGAAACTCCTAAACTAGTTACCACAACACCAATTTTTGTATAGTTTTAGGAAGAACTATGCTTACCAACATTCACAAAGCTGATTAGTCAGAAGCAGGGCTAGAGCTTGGAAGCCCAGGTAAACCCTTTCCCTTCTGAACACATTGAATGGAATGAGGAATTTCTCAGCCTCCTTTGGCAGCTTCTTCCTCTTGGACCTTCATGTTTGTTGCCAATTTCTAGCACTTGGGGGTGCATGGCTATCTTTCAATGGCATCATTCCTTCCAGTTATCTGTGCTACCTGGTGGATTCCTGCTATTCACCAGGGGCTGCTCCATGGCAAGACAGGGTGGGTGGGACCTTTAACCTTTATTACCGAGGTCCAGTGTTCTGAGTCATCTCTGTTTTTCCCAGTATGATTCTTCCTTTCTTTTTCTTTTTTCTTTTCTTTCTTTTTTTGAGACAGGGTCTTCCTCTAACCCCAGCTGGCCTGGAACTCACTATGTACACCAGGCTAGCCTCTATCTCACATAGATCTGCCTGCCTCTGCCTCCTGAGTGCTGGGATTACAGGGGTCTGCGACCATGCCTGGCAACTCATCTTGTCTCCCATTGTTCTTTGCAGAAATTGCATATGAGATTTAACTATTTTTGGGTGGGCTTCAATTTTAATTTTCTTCACTAAATGCCCTTCATTAGGAAAACAAATTGCAGTAGGTTTTATGATTTCCATTCTCTTGTGTTTCCCTGTTGATGGTTACACCTGAAGGTAGTTCCTCATCTTGTTCAGATTTGGATCTCTCTACCTAAGTATAGAACCATTCATTATCTGAATGATTGACTGCCATAGTGCTTTAGTTTTACATGGGTAGCTGAGGAATTTTTTGAAAGGTGAAATTTCTAAGAACTTGCTGGCTCCAAGAGTCTGTGTTGCATGTCAGTTCAATCAACATTTGTTAATAATCTGCTAGATGCTAAGAATTATGTTTCAAACTAATAATTCAAAAATGATGTGTGTAATTCATTTTATAAGGAAACTCCTAGCCTTGTGATAGTAAACTTAGAACTGCAAATGGACCATTTTAGCATTGCATGTTATGATTAGAGTTATAGATTGTGTCTAAGGTAACAGGGAACACTCAGAAAGAACTAGAAGAGTGCCAAGCAGATGCACTGGGCAGGCTTCCAAGAAAAACTGAATTCTCAGCTAAATTTTGAAGGATGAATCAGTCTTATAGTCATAAAGAAAAATAAGAAGGGATCTCTAGGTGGAGAGAATGCATGAGAATGAGAGTGCTACACGCTGTGATTCGTATTGGATCTGTAGTGAGTTTCACTGGCGTGTAAGTGTGTGAGGCGTGAAGAAGGAACGGGAACCGAGGCCGCAGTTCAACAGGAACAAGCTCAGGGTAGCCACTATCTGTAACCTTTACCCATGCCCACTGAGAGATTCTTGGATAGGAGTGGGTGCAGAGTTATGGGGTTATTTTTTAATGGTTTGAAGCAGGAGAGTTTGAGGAGGGTCTTGAAGCCCCTTAGGAAGCTACTGTAACGTCTGGAAGAGTGATGACAGTCTAAGCATGGGTGAAATGACTACTTAGTGACTCTTCACTGAGTGCTTAGCAAGGCCAGTCCATGTGCAAGACAGAGAAAACATGATGGTGAGAGAAACAGTTGTGACTACTGTGTAGATGAAGCTTGAAGTCTGAGAGGGAGAGGAGGTAGAGATGGATGGTAATCCACTCTGAGATGTGTCATTACCGGGTGCATTAGTGCATGCTGATAGTCAGGAGCATTCTTAGATTAATAGATGACCACGACACTTGCAGACAAAAGGAGGAGAAACCGTGGAGGCCTCAGACCAAAGAGGAGCCATGTTGTGTCTGAAGGATGGAAAACAGACAGGTTGGACTAAGATGGGGAGATCATGACAGGTGGAGGTTAGAGAAATAGAGAAATAGTCATGCGGTTAGAGAAATAGTCAAGAAAGGAGGTTGGATGGCTTCGGAAGTCCAGCTAGGAAGTATGAATTGTGTTCTCAGCCAGAGGGTTTGATGACAGACAGTGGGGTAATGTGTGGTTTTCATTTCTGAAGCAGCAGGCTGGCTGCTGTGCAGAATGCTCTCTGCGGGAGAACAGTGGTTAGAAGGTAGGTTCGGAAGCGCAGATGAGACATCATGCAGGTACAGGCACCATGGATGAACTATAGGTGCATTCAAAGCAGCTTCAGAGAGAAGGCGTACAAGTCTTAGAGTTCATAGAACAGGAAAAAGCAGTTGGTTCAGGAATTCTGGACCTTTTGTCATATGATAATGACTGGAAGGTGATGAAACAAGCCAGTCCAGGGAGAAAACAGGGTCAGGAGGGAGTCCATGGTTTGACCATTAGCAGGCTGAGTATGAGACATGGGGGAGGAAAAGGAGAATGAGCCGTGGCCTGTATGGATTTGGAATGCAGATGAAGTGCTGGAATTAAGACTTGTAGTCATTGGCCTAAAAGTAGTTAAAGATGTGAGTTAGTAAGATGACCTAGAAAATAGATGGTGAAGTGGACAGGAGCACAGACTATAAATATTAGGAGATAAAATTAGTTGGACTAGGTGGTTAATAGGTTGAAGAGGATGAGTGAAAGCTACTGCCTAAAATGACTTCCAGATTTGAGATGTATGTGATCTGGCGAGTTGTGATCCATTGATTGGTTGATGGCAACGTCTACCAGGAAACAATGAATTGGAGTGCCCTACAGAATGCAGCAATATTATGACCATTCTAAATGATGGATTTTTCTGCATTTTTCCTAACTTCCCTCATAACTTTTACATATCCCATCCCACGTATACGTGGGATAGGCAGGTGATTGACAGATGGAGAAAGGAAGGAATGGGGAAAGACTAAGGGGGAGAGAGCCACTAATAAAGGGGATGGAAGGATGAAGATCTGGAGAGTAGCAAGGGAGAAGTGATGTGAAAAGACAGAAACATAGGGTAGGAGAAGGGAAGAATGGAGTGGAGATAATGGAAAGTCACGATCATCATTTTCCTCTACCTTAAGACCTTGGCCAGAGCTTTCCTTACAGGAAACATGTATACAGACTGTCAAGGAAGGAGATTTTGTTTTGTCATGTCATTGGTTTCTATTTATACTAAATAATATTATGGTTGAAGTGAACTCTCTTGGTAGCTTAGCTTCTAGGATCTATTTTCTTCAGTAACTCAGTTGCTCCCAGTTCAAAACCTATGTGCTTATAGGATGATTTTGCCACACTCTTGAGTTTTGACTTTTCTTGAACAGTGTTTATGGAGGTCTGCTCTGTGCTGTGCTTCGTGCTATTTCATTGTTTCTGGGAATGTATCATATGTGGTTATAATGCAGTCTCTTGTGGGTATGTTTTCTTATCAGAAGAAGTTGGATATGGAGGAAGGATCCCTAATATCACCTACCCAAAAAACAATTCCATCGAAGTTCAACTTGGTAAGTAAAGCTGTCGGAGCCATTAAGGCTGCCAAGGGTAGAGCTTATTGTACCCACATGTTCCAGCGAATGTGTTAGATGTCAGGGGTAGAGATAATCTTACACATCCCATACACACCCAGGTTCCAGTTCTGGGTGTGCCTGAGCTTAGGAGGAGATATATCAAAATAAAAACTAAGAGCCACAACTTGGGAGAGTTGAGGTATTTCTGTTTGTGGTAGGAAGAACTGTGGGTCTCACTGACCCTTTGAATGTGTTTATGCAAACTCAATGAAAACATAAAATCTATTCCAGAAAAAAGGTATAATTTAAAACTACTACTACTAAATAATCTGGACCAGAAAATTTGGATTATATTATCTCATCCTGGAAGGTATGTTCAAGAAGTAGGGAAATGACCACATTATATTCTTTCATTCATATAGTAAAAAACCAAAAACCTTTGTGTCCATTTGTAATCTAGAAAGAGGGATTTAAATTGCTTTGTTTTTAAACTTAAAAATAATCACTACTAATATAAACATATTGAGTACTTTCTGGAAAAAAAGACAAATTAAGCAAAATTTCCATTAAAAGATAGCTCCTCGTCCCCTATCCTCAGGCCTCTCGGGGTGGGTCCATCATGGAGCCCTCCGCGCCTTGACCACCCCGGCCTCCATCTCCCCCGCTGTTCTCTGCTCCTGGTTTGGGCCCTGCGCCACTCCTGGTCTTGGGTCCCCAGACACCTGGGGAACTGGTGCTGCTTCCTGATCCTTTTCGCCCAAGCCAGCTTGGTGCCTTCCTTGGGCTCCAGAAGCACTGCTTCCCCGGGCCCTGGCCCCACCCCACCCTCACCTCTCCCTTCTTCCCCGACCTGCACCACTGGCTAATTCTCCTGGCCCGCTCTCCTGCCCTCAGGCCTCTCTTGGGGTAAGTCTACCGCTTAGCCCTTCGCACCTTGACTCCCCCAGCAGCGCTCACCTTTCCATCTCCCCCACTGTTCTCTACTCCAAGCTTGGGCCCTGTGCCATTCCTAGTCTTGGGGCCCCAGACACCTGGGGAGCCAGTGCTGCTTCCTGACCCTTTTCACCCAGACCGGCTTGGTGCCTTCCTTGGGCCCCAGGAGTACTGCCTCTGGACCCGGCCCTGCCCTCCCCTCTCTCTGCTTCCCTGGTCCTGCAACACACGCCAGCCTCTTTCTGGGGCTGACAGCCTCTTTCTGGGGCTCCGAGGCTTACCTTGCCTCTCCCTGATCCTTTGCATCCAATACAACCCAGCTACTCAATCCACTCCCTGGGAAATCTTGGGGCTTATTCCCACCCCATCTGCCTTTGCATCCCTGCGTGGCACGGCCAAGGCCAGGATCTCAGGTCAGTCCAACCCCCAAATTCCTGAGGTCAAAATCATTCTTAGAAGATTCCAGACCCAAGGAGAAAGTCTGAAAACTTCTGACCCACATTGGAAGTGGGCCACCGCGGAA